TTCCCCGAGTCCATATCGCCCCACGCAATTCTCCACTTCTCCTTGGCCAACTTTAGCGTTCAAATCGCCCATTATAATATTTATATCTTGTCTTTTAGTTAGTCTTAAGACATTGTCGATTTGTTCATAGAAGGCCTCTATGGTGTCTTCATCCTTGTCTGCAGTGGGTGCATATACTTGGATTATATTTATTTTACGTTTTAAATGAGAGTTTAGAGACAGCATTAATACTCGATCAGAGTAGGGAACAAAGTTACAGACATCTTTATGAGAATTCTTATCAACTATAATGCCAACTCCCCGTTTGTGCTTGGAATCGTTGTTTCCAGAATAATACATCGTTCCATTTCTGGTCTTACATTTTCCTGATTCAGGCCATTGTATATCGCTAAGGCCCAGTATATTAATTTTCATTCTGCACATTTCCGACACAGCATTATCCAGTTTGCCTGATTGGTATAAACTTCTTACGTTCCATGTTCCGATTTTCAAGGCTATAGAGTTATTTGCTTGACAGGGATTTACCTTGTTGACGACCTGAGAGGCCCTGTCGTCTAAATCTGATTGTCCTCCCCTGCCGGATCTTGGATTCCGAGCTCCATGATCATTAAGTAAATTATCCACTAGTGGGTCCATGATGATTTTTACTAAGGATATCCTTACGGATCTTTAATGTGGTAGTCATCCCCTGGCGTTCCACATCTCAATGCCGTTGACTAATTTAGTTCTTCCGCCTTCGGAGTTAATTTCTATGCTCCAGGGCAATGAAGTGCCCTACCACGTGTCGGTTCTTCCACCCTTAGCTGTTGATTAACAGGTGGGGGATTACTTATACCGGTAATCGTTCGGTTAATTTAGCAGCTCTAGTATCCAATAATATACCGATCCAGGATCATTTCCCTTACGCTCTATCTTGGTACTGATGCTACTGTCTGACAGAGTAGGATATAGGAATGGAAACTTTGGTAATTAGCTGGGAGAATGGGTTCAGGACATAATTTCTCCCAGGTACCAGGAGATTGGGAGATAATTATGGCTCACGTGGGCAGGGTCGCATCCCTGACGTAAATCTATCTTCTACCGGAAACGTAAAAGAGTATCTACTCGCTACCCCGATTTTTATTAGAAACAAATATTATAATGTTATAATAATTAAGTAAAATTATAGATGACAAGTCTCAAAATTGTTAAAGAGGCTCATATCATCTTCATCTTCTTGGGGGTATTTGTTTGTGGCTACATTCCTGTGTTAAATTTTGATAAAACCCATGACAAGCTGACGGAACAAAAAGCAATAGTGCAATTAGGTCATTGTACTTTTGTTTTGTGATTGTTAATGGGATTACTGAGACTTGATTTAATTGGGCTGGAAACGTTACTTGCTGTCTTCGATACCTCATTAAGTCCACCTCATACAAATTTTGATTATTGAAATCGGTCTTATAAAAGAGCTTTCCAATGTGTTCTTGTTGGACTTGTAAAACCACATGCTGACAGTAGAACAGGCTTCTTGTTAACATTCTTTTTTCTACTTACAAAAGGAGGATTAGGTGACAGTTTCTTATCGAACAACATTTTGAAGTTTTTGAAATCTGCAAGTTCCATATTGTGCACTGTGTATTTACCTGATGTTTGCCTAATTAGCTATTGCCAGTCCCATGGTGTTAAACTGGCCTAATTATAGAGTTTCTATTCTTTTTCTCTTTTTCTCTCGATTAAAGCATGAACACTGTCTGCTTCCGTGTGTGTGTGTGCGCCCTTTCAGTAAAAACTTTTAAATGATCGTCATTATTTGAGGGTACGTATGAAGTAGCCAAAAATAGCTCATTATAATACTTATATTTTTATTGTGTTCATAGTAGTTATCAGTCTAAAGAGTGATGTCCTCTACTTGACTACCTAGAATTGTATTGTCAGGCCATTTCAAAATTGACGAGGTAATTTCATTTGCCCCACGGCCCCTTTCGATTCGTCCCATATCATACATTGTACAGAAGAATCACTGGCATCATATAATGTAAAATTTAATGTCCAAAGCTTCCTTTGTACAGTTTCTCCAATGTACAGTTAAAACATATGTTTATTGTAAGTTCTGTGCCCAGATAATTTTTCTTTCTCCTTTCTCTGGAATAATGACTCTCGTACTTTAGGAAGGAATTGATATGTTGATGTATACTATTTATGGTTTCGGTACCAGTTTTATTGAGTGACGTGTATCTACCTCTTTGATCAGCTTTTATTAAACTTTCTGGCTCAATTTTTTTTAAACATATTCACTGCTACACTAAATTAGATATACAAAGTGTATTTAAAAACATAACCTTGCACACCTTCAATCGCTGACTCTTTACTGTAAGATTGTAGTATAGAGTATGATTTTTAGATTTGGTAGAGTTTGTATCTCTTTTTCTTGATCGAACACTAGGTTGGATGTCGACACATGAGAAGATAAATTGCTTTTTAACATCTGAAGCGTTTGTCTCAGTCCAGTATGAGTTGAAGATTTTTTGCCCTTCGTATTCTGTCAATCTTTCAGAGCATTTCCTGGTAACTTCATTATGTTAATTGGAATTTTCTGCATCACTCCTTAGGGATAAATCGTTCTTAAGAACATTTTTTGTTATTGCCCTACTAGTCGTAGGGGTAGTAATACCCTCTCTCTTTTACCTTTGTTTTCGCTGGTTTACCTATACGTCTCACATTATTGTCGTCTGATTCTGTGCTTTCACCACTTAGAGGCTCATAGGTTTGGTCAATATCCGCATCATCATCTCCAAACAAATTATCATCTCGTCAAGATCCATCCGTCAAAAGAGTATACAATACTAAATATTTGAGGTTAGCAAAATACCAAATCGGTCTTAAACAATAGCTTACCTGTAGGTTTTGTTTCATTAGGAATATTATATGACAGTAATTGTAGTATTTTTCCCCACGAGAGTTTGTATCCATTTCCAATTATAAAAGAACGGATGTATTGTACAACTTTTAACAATCTAACACTATTGCGGACTAAATAAAATGGTTACAATTATTTTAGTTCTTGACAATTCCACCAGGCACAAGAGTACATAACACTATCTCCGGATGGTAAACAGTGTACACATTTAGTAGAGGTAAACAACACCAAGTCCACATGGTGTTATTTACCTCTGACTGGAAGTGGACTTGGTGTTTATTAAAAAGTTGCTTGCCGTAAAATTGTATCTGGACATAATATGGTTTATCTCTGTGTAGAGCCAGAAAAATTATATTCAAAAGTGCAATAATCCCAATTTTGATAAAAATGGACATAGTGTCCTTTACCTCCGGGTATGTACTAAGAATAAGTACGGGGCACTTTCCCTTAATATAGAAAATTGCTTAGATAATTTTAATTCCCGAAACAGCAAAACCATCAGAAGAAAAAAGTTTTATAGACCGATTAGCTTGCATTTCAATTAGAATAAAGAGCGTACAGGGCAGGAGCATATACAAGACTGCAGCTATATCATTAACCGTAAATTTGTTGATTGAACATGACACAAACACAAAATACACGTACAAAGATGCATATCTACAACAAACTTACACAGAGTGAAGGAAACGAACAAAATTAAAAAATAAAAATACTAAACTTGACAGACGTGAAGCAGTTGAGAAAAATAACAGATACAACTAAATTGAGTCGAGTAAGACGTAAGAATACTTAAACGGATCTAAAACAGGAATCATTATTAAATATTAAAAATAAAAACTAAAGTGGTATCGATATATCAGGAGCATGAAGTAAGTGTGGGTATTCAAAAGTTGTGGGTAAAAAGAGAAAGCGAAGATAAAAAAATATGTATAGACCATTAAAAAATAGCTATTATTAAGATTTTTATTTAATAGCTTGAACCGATAGATCGTGGGTTCGAGTCCCACACATCTGGATCCTTTTTTTATTTAAAAATAATATTAATTTGGATTTTTAAAACGGCGGATTACTAGTGACGTCTAGCGGATAATAGTTGAGCTACAAAAATATTGTGAAAATTTATTTGAATTTAAAAATGGCGAATTATTGGCGGTGACTGGTAGAATATAGTTGAACTACAAAAAGAATTTGTAAATTCATGTGGAGGGGGTAGCACAAGTGACTAGGGATGGCGGTTTTTGACAAAACACCGGTTTTCGGTTATACCGTTTTTTTTTTTGCTTACGGTTTAACCTGGCGGTTAAAACCGGTTTTTGGCTTTTTTAATCCAATAGGTTATAAAGTTACAATTACAATGCACTTTAGTTTGCGATACTTCATTTAACTTGATATCAATATGATCAAACTTGAGTTATGGTTTTGTTTGGAATAATCACTTGAGAATATGAATTATGATTGGGATCCAAAATAATACCTAACCTAATCCTAATCACCGTATAAACCTAATAACCGGTTTTTACTTAAAAAATAACCGATAAAACCGGGTATTGCGAAGTAAAAAACCGGTTTTCGGTTAAAATCGGTAGGTTTTTTTCCATCACTACAAGTGACCCATACTTTAAAAATAAAATTCGTGCTTAGTCTTATGGTATATCTTTAGAAAGTAATTAGCGTTTAGTTACTTTATTGGTTTTCTAATTTATTAAATTTTTAATTGAACTTCTATATTTGTTAAAAAGTAACGGACCTGGAAACTATTTGGTGAACATGGCCGTTATGTATCCCTGAAAAACATAATTTAAATTACTAATACGCATACAGTATTTTCATTGAAAACAATTCGAAAATAAGATTGCTTTAAACAATAAAATAAAAAAATGAATTATTTATCACATAATGTATAGATACATTTGTTCTATTTTTTTCTTTTATTTTTTCGAGAGTTGGAGTTGGCTTTTTGGCAGCAGCTGTTCACTGAATACAGTCCTTGATATCTTGAACATAATTTATATTAGTGGAAGGTTTTACTTTGGTTTCGTTACTTATGTTATTCGCTTGTCCAAAGATCCTACATTGTAACTAATTGATTTATATTTTTCAGGTTTCTAGCCGAAAATAATCACAGTATTACTCATCTATCAATGTCGAGCTGTAAATTTCTAAATGAAAACATATTTCAAATAGTTTCAATGTGCAGCGAACTAGTAGGTAACCTATCCGTTATTTATGTGTTACACGTACAGTTCCAAAAAAATGGCGCAGTCAATTTGGTTTTTTTCATTGTGTACAACGTTTTTACCAATTCTTAAAATTTAAAAAAACTGTTTGTTCGCGATGTCTCGTCTACAGCTGCATTATCAAAGACAAATGTGCCGCTATTTTGGAAATGTATGTATATTCTAACAATACAGTTCACATTTAAAACAAATATTCATTATATGCATTGTATTTATTTTAGCTCCATAATTAAAAGAGTTTTATCTGTTTATCCGAACATGAGTAGAGTTTAAAAAATATTATTTTTGTTGGCTACATCGACATACACAATATCGTAATGTGACCACCAACCCTGATATGGCACACTGTTTAAATTATTCACAATTTAATTGATATCACTTTCTTAACAAGCATATAGTTCACTAAATTTAAAAAGAAATATTGATACGTGCTTATAAATTTTCTATTTCTATTTTAAACTTTTGAATATATATGTCAACAGTACTTTCACACATTTCGGTAGTTTAATTTTTAGTCTTGAAAGTTAAATGCCGAATCATCAAAATATTTCAGATTAACTGGAAACATTCTGTAGGGTTTTTAAAATCTTTTTCATGTTAACATATTCGAAAAATACGCAGTGCAGCTCTGTTAATATTCAGAAATTAATAGAGGGAAAAATAAACATAATTCAAGTAACACAAACTGTAAATCGGTAAGTTATAAGAAGAGTGGTAAAATTGTGAAATTATCAATGTGGTCAAATAAGCTTGAAAATTAAACTAGGACATACGTGATGAAATTGATTATATAATAACAAGCACAAGATGGCAACAAGCATAGAAAACTGTGAAAAAAATTAATAAACCAAAACGATACAGGCCAGAATAATATTTTCCGGAATATTCTTCAGAATTCGTTTCAACAGAATGCTTCATTGTAATTTCTGTGAACATATATTCTTTTGCCACTGGTAGATTGCTGGCTTCATCTGTAAACCCTCCTATTTTATCTTGGTTTGGCACTGATAACCGATCAGCTACTGAATCCACTGATCAATTGCTTCAAGCGGAGTCAAACGAGTATATATATATATATATATATATATATATATATATATATATATATATATATATATACTAACAGAGTAACAATGACCTCTGAATGCCTACGTGTCACCATCTGGAGGAACAATCACATGAGCATAGTTTCAAAAAAATAGCCCAGTTGATTTTGTAGTCTTTTGACAGAAAATTGATGGCATTGGATGATTATATGAAGTATTTAATGTGTTATTGTATGTGCGATCCGTTATGACGTATTTGCCACGATAAAATCTCGCCTGGACAAATTTTTAGGGCCAGAAATAGAAAGAATGTCGACTAAATGTTAAATTTGATGTAGAGTTAAGCAGCTGAAGTCCCAGTGTTTTTGCCATAGGGTACTTGTTCTTTTAATGTGAGATTTTAAGTCCTTACTAATTTAGATGTTAACAGCGGAATCAGTTGATGTTGAGGCAAGTTTTGCGTGGTGGTTTACAATTTCATTGCATGTTATACCAATATGGGATGGTAGCCAGATTAGAGTAACTGTTATATTTTGGGAAAAGTTGGTAATTATTATGGATCTTTTGAACGATTTGATGATCAGTGAATAAATTTTGGATGGATTGGATTAAGGCTAAAGAGTCTGTGCATATAACAACTTGCTTATTTGTTGATGAAATATATTTGATAGCTTAAAGTTACTGAATAACTCGCCAGTATGAACGCTGCAAAAGAATGGCATAAGGGATGACGGAATACGAGTGTGTGACATTATAACAGAACAGTCTACTCCTATATCATTTTTTGAGGCAACTCTATAGTTCTAGGTCGTAATTTAAAAGGTTAAAATGTATTTTAGAAGCAGATATGTATATGTAAGAACCATAATCAAACATTTTATTTAATTTGGCAAATAACGACATTACCGCGAAATAATATCCCAAAGCTAAATATTCAGCCAACTGTGATCCAACTCGACATTTTTCATTATATGAAAGCAGTAATTAAGTTAATGACTGTAAAATACTTATAGGGATATTTCCTTGTTTCTACGACGTCAAAAGTGCAAGAAACATGTATTATAACGCAGCCTCTCAATACAATGTATAATTTATCCAAAGGCCGCCCACACAAAAACCAAGGTAAATATTTTGCAGCCGTTGGTATTTATCGCCTTTCTTAAACCATAACGGAAGTAAATGTTTATATCACATTATTACATTGTTTTAGTTTTGGATCTTTGGACTATCTTAGAGATTCTTGTTGTACTTGACGTCATCTGCAAAAGAAACAGCCTAAGAAGGGCAAAAAAATGTCCTTAATTTTTACAGGGCTCTCCGATTCTAGTTGTCAAGCTAAGGTGACATTAAAGGAAATAAGACGACAGGTCATTTGATTAAGCTTGGAACATTACATTAAATCATCGCTAATATCTTCTATTGATTACCACGAAGTTTTGAGAAACAAAATAAACTGCTGTTTTAGTCTGGGGCATCACTGAATCATTTTTGTTTAAAGATGCGGGCTTTATAATTGCTCAGGCAGTAACAATTTTATTGGCTCTCCATCGTCACATGATAATCTGGATTTTGTGCATAAATTTTAAAATATGGATGTTAAGCAATGTGGTTTCAACCAGACTCTTCCAAGTTGCCACTTACGCTGTTCGAAGATTTTCATTCCGTCTCTCTATAGGTCAACCTTTGTTTCTTCTTCGGATTGGTGATTTGCTCGTGCTATTCTTACTATTTTTGTTTCTGTCGTTCTGTTAGTATGTGTGTTCTATTATTTCTCTCTTGAATCCACACATTAATTTGTTGTTTATCCTACCCATGCTTCTGATATCATTACTCATTATTTTGCTCATCAGTGTTTTTTCTGTTATTATTCTTAGAATTATCATTTCTTTTTTAAATGTTTTCAGGTTGTGCTAGTTTCAGGTATTGTTTCTGTTGCTTTTCGTTATCACGGGATGGATTTGTTTATATTTGTTGTTGTCATATTTGTTTTTTCTATCATGTCGTTGAAGAATTTCGCTGTTCTCTTTGCTTTTATCGCTTGTTCCCTCCTTCTTACTCGATATTATTGTCACTTAAAAACTTAACCCCAAGGTATTTAAATTTCAGGTAAATATTTTTATTAAACGAAGTTGCCAAAAATTGCGTAAATTTTTTTGGGCTTGGTCCAAAAAGTTGAGAAAAGGCCAAACTTTAATGATTTTTATATTGAAAATTCTAAAAAGTATAATAAGAAACAAAAATAGAAAAAGAGATAAAAAAATAAAATTGAATAGAATGAGAAATATATGAAAATAGAATTGTACTTTATCCCAAATTTCGGAATTCGTTCACATAAAAAAATATGTTTGTATATTAGGTAGAATGTAGATATTTATTGTAATGAAAAGATCAATAATAAATCACTTCCCTGTTATTTAGTTCATAGATAATCTTCAATATTTAATAAAAAAATATATAAAAATGGGTACAACCTGAATTATCCAAATGCTTGTGTGGCTTGTAGAAAGCATATAATTTTTACCAACTAGGTACTCAGGCTGGGATTTCAGAACGTTGAATCTATCGGCAGCATACATAATGCCCACCATAAAAATATATAGGATTGGGTGGCTAAGCAAACGGGATATTCTTCGAATTGTTGCTTTCAGAACACATACCATAAATCCATAGCTATTTAGATAACCTCGGAATGATAAACATAGTTTTGGCAACTATTAGGGCTCCCGGTAAGGGTTTAAAATAACCTAATTAATGCTACAACCTATTTTGTTACAGTCAATTAAGGTGAGAGAGATACTAATCACTTCAAGCCGTATTTTACATTTTTGAAATCAGTATAAACAGGAAAATTCAAATATAAAATAAAAAAGGGGGAAGCAATTAAAAAAACTTAAGGGATTATACGAGAGGGTGCATTTCCCAACAAACTTAAATATTATATAATTTCTCCCCTTTCAAATATTAATTGACGTGTTTTTGCATTTTTTCTAAAAATTAGAAGTTCAAAAGTTATTGAAGGTGGATAGTTTTATCTGAAAAGCACCGTATAAAACTCTTAAGAGCAAAATTGGAATTCTGGGAAGCAAATTAGTAAAGAGAACAATACAACGTTTCTTTTGATAGTGTAAAACTATTAGAGTTTTGTATTACTAATATTAATCCTATAATTCATATGTTGTTGAAAATTTGTTGTGTACATCTAGTGCTGAAAGAACATTCTCTATTTTGAGAAGAATTAAACTTGGCTACGGTTAACTATGGATGAAGAGAGACTTATTGGTTTTGCATTGATGAATATTTATTATGATATTCGTATTGATCTCTACAAAGTCCTCTCAAGTTAAGTCAATTATTTTGTATTGTAATTCTTTTTTAATTACTTAAACCACTTAAATATTATTTTTTTTTTAAATTTTATCCATAATTAATTAATACGTTATTATAAATTAAGTAGATAAAATATGAAATTATTAAATTTTTTTATGTAAAATAAAATAAGTTAAATATGAATATTTTTATATTGTCTATATTTTATATATTATAACGATATTGTATAGGTATCGCCACATCAAATAGTATTATCCAGATTTAACCAGAGGACTCACACACTCTCTAAGGGAAAAATTATATTATTAATTATAAAAAAAATAATTATAAAAAACTAGTATTATTATTATCGATAAATTTAGCCGATCGGCCACCTACTCTTAAACACGTTTTAACAACACGTCTATAGCACCTGAAGTTACTTTAACTGTCCATTTTTTTTTAAATTCCACGTCAACCTGCTATTAATTCATATTATAAGACTGAAATAAAACTGCATTAGCTTTTCTTTATTTTTTGCTATGGAACCCCTTTCGAAAATTTCAAAACGGAAAGAAGTTTAAGAGTGGTTAACACTATTACCAAGTTTAGGTAATCGTAGAAATATTACCATATCATATCAATTTTTTTCTATCTCTAATTTTATTTCGAACATATATGTTCTACTATTCTATTCTAAATTAAAATCAGATTTTTGGTATTCAACAGTACTTATCTGTTATATTTACTAGGTTGCTATAGTATGTGTATTACCTCTGATAATTCTACTCTCTCGATTGTGTTTTTAAGTCTATAAAACGTAGGTATGCTGATTTATTGTATTATGTTGCTTTATCAGATATTTTTCTAATAACAAATACCGCATCGTTCAGGTTCTTCCACTTCTGAATCTCTTTTGTTATTCTGATTAGTAAGCAATTTTCTTAGTTTATTTCTCAATACTTTTGAAATACTAATTTCATAAATAAACTAAGAGTTTCGGAATGTTCTCCTTCTTTCAGTGCCTATTCGTTCCGAATATTGGCAATCATTCTGGCTATAATTATTTTATTAACTGATGCTTTAAATAGATTCGTTGTTGTTGTGGAGAACCATTTCCTCAGGTTCTTCAACCATGATATTCTCCTTCTCCCAATTCCTCGCTTTCCGAATACTTTACCCTGTAGGATTACCTTCAGTAATCTGTATTTAGTGCTGTTTCTCATTATATGTCCGAGATATTCCAACTTTCTCCTTTTAATGGTATACATCACCTCTCTTTCTTTGCCCACTCTTCGTAATTCGGTCTCGTTGGTTATCTTGTCTGTCCATGATATGCTTAGAATTCGCCTGTATAGCCACATCTCGAAGGCTTCAAGTTTTTTCTCCATTGCTTCAGTTAGTGTCCAGGATTCAACTCCGTAATACAATATTGAGAAGATATAACATCGTAGGAGCCTTACTTTTATCTCCAGATTAAGATTGTGACTTTTAAAGAGTTTGGCCATGTTATTGAATGCACTCCTAGCCTTCTCTATTCTACATTTTATTTCCTGTGAGTGATCCCATTGTTCTTTTACTGTTGTTCCAAGATAGTTATACTGTTTTACTCGGTCCACTGGTGTATTATTGATAAGTAGTTGAGCGTCTCTAACTTTACTTTTGCTGATGATCATAAATTTAGTTTTTGTTATATTTACTTGAAGTCCAAATCTTTCACTTACTTCATTTACTTTGTTTATTAGTTGCTGTAAACTGTTCAAACTGTCTGCAAAAATAACGGTGTCGTCTGCATAACGGATGTTGTTTAGGCGTTCTCCATTTAGAAGTATTCCATGTTCGCATTTTTCCAAGGCTTCACTAAATATTTCCTCTGAATATAGATTAAATAATATAGGTGAAAGTATACAACCTTGTCTAACGCCTCGTAGAATCTGGATCATTTCCGTTGGTTCACCTCCAAAATTCGTTCTTATTGTGGCTGATTGGTTCCAGTATAAATTTTGTATTATACGCCGATCTTTATCATCCATTTGGGCTTTTGTTAGAATATCCATCATTTTTTGGTGTTGAACTGTATCAAATGCTTTTTGGTAGTCCACAAAGCAGGTGTAAATATCGCAAGTCATATCTCTGCATCTTTGAAATAATACTTGTAGACTAATCAGTGCATCTCTTGTACCTACGCCTTTCATGAATCCAAACTGTGTGTCTTGTATTCTCTCTTCGCATAGCTTATTCTACGATGTATAATTTTAAGAAAAAGTTTTAATGTATGGCTCATTAGACTTATTAGCCTATATTCTCCGCACTTTTTTGCTCCCTGTTTCTTTGGTAAGGTAATAAATTCTGAAAGTAGCCAATCTTTTGGGATATTGCCTGTGTCATAGATATTATTGAAGATTTTACATAGTACTCTTAAAGATTCATCATCAAGAAGTTTAAGAAATTCAGATTGTACTTCGTCTGGTCCTGGAGCTCTACATTCTTTTAGTGATAATATGGCTGCTCTTATTTCTGCCACTAGTATAGGTGGTCCTGTTTCCGTAGGTATTGGGGGCTGGTTCTCTCTCTCATCAAATAATAAATTTCTTATGTAATTTTTCCAGGTATCATTGATACTCTCTTTGTCCACGATTATCTCTCCATTGTCATTAACAAGTTTACTTATTCTTCTGTTTTTACATTTACCTGTAATTTCTCTTACCTTCTTATGCACGTTGAAGTCGTCGTATTTACTTTGGAGAATTTCGATTTCTTGGCATTTTTTCTCCAGTTCTTTCTGTTTGGTTTCTCTGATCTTTCTCTGTATCTCTCGCTGTAATGTTTTATACATGGAGTTATCGTTCTTGTTTTTCCTTCTTTCTTCCATTAGTTGCAGAATCTCTGTCGTCATCCATGTCTTATTCTTACCTTCTTCGTTCTTCATAAAATTGTCTTTAATGTCGTCTATTGTTTTCTTAAGGGATTCTATCTTATCTTCTGTGCTTTCCGTTGTATTATCGATTTCTTTAAATTTTCTATTTAATGTTTTGCTGACTATTTCTTTTACTTCGCTACATTTCAGTTTTCTCATGTCATGTTTTTTTTACAGTTTTTCCCCGTATTTTCTTTAACTTAGTTCTATACACGCCCACTAAAGGATTGTGGTCAGATTTAATATCAGCGCCTGGGTAGGTTTTAACACTGTTGAAACTATTTCGATATCTTTTGTTAACAATAGTCTATTTGATTTCTAATAATAACGTCTTCTCCGTTGTCTCTAGGTGATTTCCACGTATACAGGAGTCTAGGCGGTAGTTTGTAAAATTTGTTTAGCACGATTAAGTCATGCTCAGCTGCAAAGTTACTCATTGTTTCTCCGCGTTGATTTCTCTCTCCTAAGCCATGTGGACCAATATGTTGCCCTTCTTTTCCGTTACCTATTTTTGCATTGAAATCTCCCATGATTATAAGGAGTTCGTGTCTCGGTATATCTCTTATAAGGTTGCTTATTTGTTTGTAGAATTCTGATATTTCTTCATCACTACACTATGGTCTACTGTGGGTGCATAGACTTGTATGATGTTTGTGTTCACCGGTGACGTATTTATTTGTAACAGGAGGATTCTATCGTTCACTGGTATGAAGTTGTTGACTTGTTTGGCTATACTTTGTTATGCGTGATAATTCCAACCCCATTCTCATATTTACCATTTTCTGATCCTGAATAGTATACTCTGTAGTCTTCTATATCACAATAACTTGAGTCAGGCCTCCTCATTTCACTTATGCCCATTATTTCTATTTTCATGAGTTCCATTTCTTTAATTGCGCATTGGATTTTTCCTGATTGACCCATCGTCCTAACGTTCCAAGTGGATATCCTCTTCAGACAATTCGTGTGGACTTTTCTTAAAGGTGTTTTATTCGGTATTTCACAGGGATTTTGCATATTAACGACCTGAGAGGCCCTGTGGTCATGGGAATGACCTCTCTTGCCGGATCTTGGTCTCCGATGTCCATGATCAGTATGCGAATTTTTATTGAGTTGTACAGCCATTATAATTGTACTAGAGATATCCATAGGGATCTTTAATATAGTGGTTTCTCGTTGTCTTCTATATTCTTGTGCCGTTGACCAAACCATTGATTCTTCCGCCTTTGGGGCCGGTTTCTCAGCCCCAGGACAAAAGAGTGCCCTACCACCTACCAACTCGTCCGCCCGGAGCCGTTGGTCGGTAAGTGGGGGACTGCTTATACCGGCAATCACTCGTTCCCTATCTGCGTTAGCCATCAAAATTGATGTTGCCCGTCCTCTACCGCGTGGAGGTGCAGATTCGGATTTTTCCTTCATCGAGATTAAGACCTTTCGGCATTTCCTAATCTCTCCAGAGTTTTAGAAGACTTCGGAATGTTACTTAACAGTAAATTTCCTCTGTAATTATTTGGGTAATTTTTTTCGCTGGGGCATAATAATCCCCTTTCTCCGTTCCTGGTTTAAAATTCCTTAATTCCATTTTAACTTTTATTAGAGCTTCTTTTAGTTTGTTTTTTGTTATTTGCGTTAATTATGTTTCAATTGCTGTTCATTTATATTTGGTAATATGTTTGTATGTTTCTCATCATCTCATATCATGACTTTCATTTCCATTCTTCCCTTCTTATTAATCTTCAGGTCTCTTTCTATAATTCGTAAAAATCATGTTCCATTTCTTCCGACAATTTTTCCTTCTTTCTTCTATCTTTAGTGTTTTCTTCTTTCTTATTACAATAGTACTGTATCTCACTGTGGATGTTTGAATAATCTTTGTTTCCGTAAGCTTCTTTTCGATGTGTATCCCGTAGAACCATTGATTTTTCTGGGCATTTTAATTTTATTTCTTTAGAGAACCAAGCATACGCTTTTATGTTCGAGTTTCACCTTCTTTTTCCTTCTCCACGAACAACTTTAGTTCTTTCTTTTAAAAGTTTTTCATTATCCTCCTCCATAATCCATAATCTGGTCCCAATCTGGACTGATTTAGTTTTTTCTTGGAGTTGTCATGTAATTTTTCTATTGGTGGTTTATTCCGATGTTAACACGTAATATTTGGATGCATTTTTCTCAGACCTAATGTGTGATCACTATTCCTTATACTCCTTACGTCTAGTATTTGTTTGTATTAATATTATATGCCAGTAAAGTTGGAGGATACTCCACTAACAACTCTATATCGTGTACACTTCATTAATAAATGAAAATATTGCAATTTTTTAATTTTATCAGTTTATCTATCAAAATTACCTGTTATTTGCTTTTGACCAGATGTCAAATAAATAAATAAATTTACCTTTTTGTTCTTTTAGACTTACGTTTAAGATATACATCAGGTTGGAATTTGTTAGAACGACCCTTGCTGAGTGATTTACAAAAATTAGTTACCTTGGACCTATCTTCAACTGATATTCATGATGATGAAGTAATTGCTATTTTACAAGGAAACCCCAATTTAGAAGTTCTCAATTTAGGTATGATCATATATTAATAATATAATATTTAATAAGATATTTATGCAATATCTACAAAATATAATCTTATAAATTAAAAAAATATGAACTATTCTATTTCCGAATTCTTTCCTTGATTTCATTATTTCTTTCCATTTTCCTCTATTTTCCCATTTTCCAATATTTCATTTTTAAACTTTCTTCAACATTTTTATTCTACCTATTTGTTAAGGTCTGCCACTTATTCTCTTCTACACCGGTTGTTGTATTAAGTTTGATAATCTTTTATTTCTCACTTTTTCTGTATGTCCTAACCTAAAATTTTGTACTGTGTTTGTGTTTTCCTGGAAGCCGTCTGTTATTCGCCGGTCGTAATGTAGCCAAGTGGCTTATTGTGCATCTTCCATTTATTCATAATATCCATTTTAGACTTATGTACCAGCTTGTACAGGTCTGTGTGACTGAGTTTCATAAGTTTGTGTGGTTACTTGGTAATCTCTAAAAGTGCTTACCTCCTACGATCTAGTGCCTTACAGTCTTGAGAATAATGGTTAGCTGTTTCAGGTTCTGTGCCACATTGCAGCCTACGTCTGCAGCTAACCATTGCCAGACTCTTGTGCAATTAGGAAGCCTGTTCTGACTCTGAGATGATTCCTGCCTGTTTTCTGCAAGACTTATTTGCTTAGAAATGTTGTTAATTCTTCTGCAAATTCTTAACATATTTAGCATCCATCTCTACAACAAATCTGCGGTCTACTGGTTTCACATGCTTATGGTAATGTAGATTTGATTATTGTGTTGTAAATTCTTATTTTTGTATTGAGCTTTCTTACGTTTATGAGCCAAAAATGAAAAATTGGCTGGATCAGCGCATACTCCTCTGTTTTATTCCTTGGAAATTTACTCTAGAAGTATTTCCCATTCTCTATTTCTCGTTCTCTGTTTGACATCTCTCAATCTCAGGCCAATCCTTTCATGATCTCTTGTTACTATTCTTCTCTAGCTATTATCCGGCCTTCCTCTTCCTCTTCTTCTTTTTTCGTCTGGTTGGTATTCAAGTGCCTATCTGGTTATATTATTTTGGTCTTTCCTTAGTGTATGTCTAATCTATTTCCATTGCCTTATTTTAATCGTGATTGTTTTTTCTCTTGTTTTGTTCTTCTTCATAATTCTGCGTTTTTTATGTTATCAGGCCAGTATATTTTTATAATTTTTCTCAAAGATTTATTATATTTTTTAGTAATTGTTTCTGCCTATCACCAAGATTCTGCGCCATACTAATATACTCATAATGCTGCTGTTCAATATTTTGATTTTGGTTAAATCTGATATATAACGGGTGCTACAAATTTTACATCTGCTGTATTACAGCCTTTTTTCCATGATTAATCCAAGATATGTAAAGTTATCTACTTCCTCTATTTATCTTCCATTTATTTTAATTTTAGTTTCTTGGCTGTTGATTTTTAAGAATTTCATTTTTTTTATATGTATCTTAAGGCCCATTACATTGGAGTGTTTTGTAAGGTTGTGGATCTTCTTCTGCATCTGGTTGCTATGTTCGGTTAGGAGACAAACACCGCCTGTGAATCCCAAGTCTTCCAACTGATTGTGCAAGTTCCTCCTAATTCCTGTTTTTTTCGCTTACTTTCTCCATGATCCAATCTGTTATGATTAGGAATAGTGTCGGGGACAGTACGCATCCTAGTTTAACTCGGCCTTGTAAAGCTATATCTTTCACCATTTCTCCAGCATGTTCCAGTCTGGCTATATATTCCTAGTAGAATAATCTGATCACGTTAATCTATTTCATGGAAAAATGCAAATAGTTTCAGAATTACCCAGTAGAAGATACCCTTCTACTGGGTATCTGATTTTGTTTTGGAGTTTTTGTGCCTTTTCAATTGTAGACGTTGAGAAGCCATTTTTTCTTAAAGCTGTTTTAACTTTGCTCATTTCCTCGTTCTTATGGCCCTTCATCTGTCTGTTTTTCATATCCTGTGATTAGGGTTTTGATAACCGAATGTAATTTTGCAGGATGGGGTATAAATCCGCGTATCACCCTCCTATATCGCATTTGTTTCTTGTATCAATCTGTTTTTAACGATCAATTGTTAAGGTCCCAAGGTATTTTGTTGATGTTTATACCGTTGTTTACTTTTTTGGTTCTTAATATTATAGTGATCGCATATTAGTTGATTTTCGGTATTGGAATTATTTAAAATGATTGCGTATACTTACTCCTATTTGTTCCATTTGATTTGTTTTTAAATCACCGGTTACACTTTTAAAATACATCTCCATATCGCTATCCTGATCGCCAAATCCTCGAAAGTTAATTTTTCCACTCTATCACTAAGTAACTCCCTCTATAAGGTTCTTACCCCAATAAGGAGAATCTTGATCTCGATAGTAGTTTATTTCTTTATAGCTCGGATATCCTAAATGAACTATATACCGCATATTCGAATGTCTTTCGCCAAAGAACTTGTTGTTTTCCTCAACACTCAACACAATAAATTATGTAATTATTTACACTGTTCCAAAAAATCACCAATTTTTCCATACAAAACTATGAAACACATTCCAACTTTGACAGTTATTTTGACCGTTGTGATTAAGCACATATATATTTCACTTTTGACTATTGTATGCATAAATAATTATTGTTTTAGATTTATGCCAAAAACTCCAAAGATTAGATGAAATAGTACAAACTGCAGTAGAATATAATAAAAAACTTTCCGCATGGAGTTGTTGGAAATCGTGCTCTATAACTCCTGAAGGTGTTAGGCATTTAGGAAGATGTCATAACCTTAAAGAAATTGACCTTGGATGGTGTCTGAATTACAAAGATCCAGGGGATTCCTTAACTATTATTGCACAGGGATGTCCAAAGTTAGAAAGGTATTTTATATGAAGACCAAAAATTAAAATTTCATATCGATACTAAAAAATAATTCTATTTAAAAATCTATAATAAGTATAGTAATGAGAGATTAACCTTGTCAAGAAATTTTTCTTGAACATTTCTTTTTATGGAATTAAAATGAGTGAAAGAAGAGGGGTTCTGAAAAGAAATTTTAATTATATAACTATATTGTTTCTTCTCGCATTCCTTATGATCTCTGCATCGGATATTGCTGATGTCGATTCCATCTCCATTTATCCATTTCTCCAACTCCTTCAGATCCCCCGTCATTTCCTTCGTCTATTAACATTTTTCCGATCTGTTTATCCAGATTTTCTGCATTCGTTCCATTCACCGCTTTTTAAGTCTTCCACTTCTTTTTTTTGTGTTTTGGTTTCTGTCACTTCTTTTACTAATTTATTTTCGTCTATTCTATTTATGAGTCCATACCAGTTCAGTTTTTCTATTGGTTCTTCTTTTAACTCGTATACGACATTTCCGTTTCTTTCCATATCCAGTTTCTTCTTCCCAGCTATCTTTCATAGTTGCGTCATTTCTTCTTCATTTATGGTATTTTGATGTCTTCTATTTATACCTCTAGTATTGTATATGTAACTACAATTTCAATTTATAATAAGTATATTTTGAGTTTCGATTTCGTATTTTGAGAACGATTAATTTATCATTTTTAATATTTATTTATAAATAAATATCGTAATAAGTATTTTGAAAATGATTTTCGCAGTGGATTAGTGGGTGAGTCAGTGGATAATTAAGATGAACGATTAAGACGATGAGATTAATCATTAAACATTTTCTTCTGGGCTTACTAAATGTCTACTAAGTGAAATCTACTAACTAAGAAAAGAGTTATGATAGAAGGGCATATTTATGATAGTTTTAATATCAATAGAAATAATAGCAAGAATCCATTGTATACTGCATACGCACTATAGGCATAATATACTACCACGTACATCAATACGTAGCATCTTTGGACGATCTTCTACTTATAACTGAAGAAGACCAACTGGACCGATTAGAGTTTTTATTAGACTGGATTATAGATTGGAAATGAATGAGGAAAAACTAAATATAAGGCACATAGGGTAAAATAGCTAATTTAGGAGTAACACAATAAACACGAATGAAGAAAAAATAAAATCGAAAAGAAGATGGTTAGTTTAGGTAGGAAGAAGGTAGTAAGAGCGCCGGGAGTCTAGGTCGAAATAAATACCCACAGGGACAAAAAAAAAAGAATATTTAACACAGTTTTCACATATGCTCGACCTGGAATTTTAAAATTAGACTGATAGGAGCAGGAAATACTCAGAAGGTTATATGGGGGGTGAAAAAGAGGGTATTGTGCGTCAAAGAAGAACAAAAGATGAAACAATGCAATTACATTGACAATCAAAAATAACAATAGTTGTGTATGCCTGATGTAGCTAGAATTCTAGAAGGGAAAATGCCAAGAAAATGAATTGAAACTGAAAAAAAAAGAACAAGATCCCCACTTCTTAGGCTAAGAGCTTTCATTTAATGCTTTGCCCGATTTGTGCAAGGTCACACTCCTAATGTGACTCCTCGGCGTCTAATATGTTAGCGTTAGGTAAACAAACATAGTTTAAGGCCTATATTTTGAATGTGAAGAATTTGGAATTCGTCGTTAGAAAAATAGAATGTTTTTCTATTATTTATAGCCCTTTTATGTTCTGCTATACGTTTGTTAAAAGTTTTAACAGTTTGACCGATGTTTTTCGGCAGTCGCCACATTTAAGTTTATATACACCACTGTGTAAGTACTTTTTCTTTCGGCTCTTGTTGTTCTGAATATTTGCCCAAGTTTTTTTTTTCTAAAAGCTGGTGTTATTTCTTTCTTTTTTGTGTTTTTCTATTTTTGTTGATATCTTGTCTATACATGTAATCAAGCAGAAGGTACTGGGTTTTTTCTCTGGTGGTGGAAATACTAATTTCAGGGTTTTCGTATGTAGTTTTTGATTTAAAATTTTATTTATTGTTTGTTCGTTGTATCCATTGTTTGTTATTTGCCCGATGATATTCAATTATATTTCGAAGTTCTTTTTTGACCTGGGAATTTCTATTAATGTATGGCACATGTTATGGTAGGATAACCTGCCATAGACCTGCCAATTTATGTTGTGTAGGATAAGATGATGAATTGTGTATAGTCGTGTCAGTATGGGTAGGCTTATGAAATACGGAGAACTCACCTTAGATTTTTTGTTGTTTGTTTGGGTTTATATGACTGCAGACACTGAATCCATTCGCCAAATGTTTCTTTTTAAGTTTGATAACTTTTAAATCTAGAAAATTTATGGATTGATTCTATTCTGTCTCTATTGTGAATTCAATATGACTATGGAGTGAATTAGTATAGGTACGATAAGAATTCGTCAAGTTGCCTGTTAGTTCCTGTAAAACATACCAGTACATCGTCTACGTAGCTCCACCAATATAAAAACTTTTTGAATACGGGATGTTTTGAAATCTTTAAATTAGAGGATTATCCTTAACAGGAGATTATCTATATCCTGTTTATTGTTTCAATATTTTGATTATTTAAAAATTCTATTGTTTTGTTATTATAGGTATTATATTTTATGTATAGCAATAGTACTGTTACCTTTGTCTGCTTTTGTAAATACTATGTTTTTTCTATTGATTTATTTTTAATTGAAATGACTGTTTGATTCTCTTTGTAGCAGGACTTCTTAGTTAGACACATCGGTAATAGATTTTGCAGTGGCACTTTTTTCGATATGACAGTTTTATTTTGTTTAATGCTGCTTCACATTCTACACCTAAATATTCTAAAGTTTGTTGATGGTTATGTTGAGGCAAAATGTGTAGTTGTATGCAATTGTCTGTATTGTTTGCCTGTAATATATGGTTTATATACTAATAGGGACTTATACAACCATCAGTATTTTGGAACTATTCTTTTGTTTTTTTAAGACACTGACTAGAAAAAAAGGCTAACGTAATAGTTTCAAATTCTAAATGGATCTACTACTTAGACTGGCATACGCTGGTTTATCGGATTGATTTATGGATGAACAGTATGGCAAGAGATGGGGCTTGTGTTACTTGACCGCTAGATTAATCTATTATTTTATAATTATCGCTCTAGTGTAGGTGTCACATTTACACTTCTGTAACATGCTTTAGTTTTCTCATTTCCTATTAACTGTCCAAAATTTAATACCACACACCATAGTTTGTCTTACGATGATCTTATAGAATTGTTTTTGTTGAATTTTTCTGTCATACAATACACCACTCTACACTCTTTTCTAAAAAAAAAACACAACTTACATTTAAATAAAAACTTGTAATGTATGATGGTATATTTTTGTTAAAATTTATAAAAAAACGGATTAAATTTTTTTCAAAACGTTTAATGTATTTACAACTGCTGTAGGTGTACAGGTAGGTTTAAAATGCGAGAACTATTTGTAGTTATGCGGTAGTTTGTTCTAAATTCTTGTTGTTTGAAAAATAGTACGCTTAAATATTATAAGTCTCCAAGGTCGGTCTATATAACAATAGAATGCGTAAACATATCATGTTTAAAAAATATTAAAATGTATCACGTTCTTTCTTATTGACCCACTTCCAATTCCAACCGAAAGTAAATCTAAATTTAACTCTGATATAAATTATTAATTAATTTAATTGTTTGTTTCCCTCATGTTACGTTATTTTCTGTTCTCATTATATAACTCTATGTGCCAGATATTTTCGTATATCACTAGATTTTACCGAGTTCTCTAAACAAACATAAAAAATATAATTTTTCTTAATATTTTTAATTATTTTTGCAGGTTGATATTATCTGCATGGAGAGGTCTTAACGACGCTTTATTGGCACCTATTATAACCTCCTGTAAGGAACTTAAACACCTGGACATTTTAGGAAGTAGAAATATTACATCTCATACTTGTGAAAAAGCACTAAGATTGCTGCCCAAGCTTCAGTTATTGGATTTGTGTTATTCTTTTTGCATTACACAAAACGAGGTAAAACTTGGTTATATATTATGACATTAATTTTAATGTAACTTAACAAGTATGACTAACAGTCTATATAAAAAATAATTTTTTAATGATTACACCCAATGGTACAAACCTAGTCAGAATAATTGAGGAGCATACATGCAAAAACCGATAAATCCACTTTTTCCAATTTTGAGATAAAACCCAAAAACTTGTACAGCAAAATCCCATAACAATTTAAAGAAACATCATATTGGAAATAAATAGTAGTTAGAAGTCATATAATAAAATTCTAGAATTTTAGTATATGTATACTCTTTTTTTACTGTTTTTATTTTTGATTTTTTTTTAATTTATCGGTTTTTGCCTGAAAGATCTTTGCAAGAGCATTATATTTTTGTTGGTAATAATAAAAGAAAATAAACGAACTAGAACGTAAAAAAATATTTTTATTATAAGTATTTAAAAATTTGAACAAAGTAAAATCAAATTTGAAGCGTTGGTTCCTCTTCCAGGCAGTCACATGTCTCCCCTTTCTCTTCGTCCTCATCTTTTTCATTTTTGGAACTTTTGTCATTAAGCAATTCCCGGTACCAGTCAAGTTCTTGTAATTTCTCCCAATCTTTATCGAACTGTTGTTTTAATAAGTGTTAAAGGGATTTTTTGTTTTTTTCGGGGATACCCCGAGTCAATTCTTTTTCTGAGATGGTCAACTCAATATCGGAAAATTTTGGTTTTAAAAGTTTTGCAAAATTTTCCAATCCACTGGTAAAATATAAGTTCGATGTTTGGACTGGCTATCAACGCAGCAAAAAAAAATACATGCTAATCTGCTGTGAATAAAACGCATCATTATTTGGTGTTTTTGGGCAAAGGCTGCACCTGCTGCGTATCCAAGAAGAATGTATTGGAATATACAGTAGTTTATTTTAGCAGACTATAAAAAGCATTAGCCCTTTTTTGGTGAATACTCAATTTAGTACGAAACTCTCTTTTCTTTACCCCGGTAATTTCCGTTCCAATTTTGAATTTAAGTCTAGTACATTGTGCGCATACATCTGATGCTAGAGTAGAAAACATAATGTTAAAATCATTAACGAATATCCTCCTAAACATCGAAAAGTTCACATTATGTTCAGGGTCGCATTGAGTAAGGTACATGCCATGTAATTTCTTTATGCTTAGATCAGCGGCCAAATAAATTCGTCTTGCTTTCTTTCTATTATAAAGACTTGCTCTTCCTGGTAGTTTACCAATAAACTCTTTTATTTTATTCTTTTTCACAACAGATTTTGTGGACACGTGATCTCCACCCCGATTTTCTTTTGGGATATTTCTGTCTGACAATGTTTTAGCAACGTAGTCTACAGATCTTTCTTATTATTCACACATTTCAAGAAAAATTCCTGGCATGCCTGAACTTTTTTCTTGCTGACTCTTTTCGACAAGAAAGAAAAGTTACGCCACTTGACTGTTCGTTTTGTTGTCGATCAGGTGATCTTTTCGTTTCAATTGGAACTACTGATATGTAATGACACAATTGGATATCCTGTTTCGACTTAACATTATTTTCAAAAAATTTATTTCGAATGTCTCGAATGTCACTTTCAACAATGCTATTGCAGTGATAAGTAGGGCCATTATGTTTGCAAACTCTTGGGATAACCACTCTTGGAAAAATAAGGATTCCTATCACGATATCTAAAACAAAAAATGGGTTAGGTAACGAACCTCAACAAAAATCTTAATTTATTTTTTACCTGTTACCTTTGCTTTTGCAATTTCTGCCTTTTGGTCTCACTTTTCTTTTCTTTCTCCTATTTCCTATACTAATTTCCAACACACTTGCTTCCATTGTTAAAACTTAATACAATTATGTTAAACAACTGCTTAATACGTAATTCATAAACAACATAACATAACCTGTAGTTTATTCGTCTTCCGGGTTTGGACCGTGTCATTTGTGAGTGACCCAAAAGTTCTCTCAAGAGATGAACCCACTTTTGGGTCACTCACAAATGACACGGTCCAAACCCGGAAGACGAATAAACTACAATTCTGACTCTGGCCGTGGAAGCCTACGATTTCATATAACATAACCTCTTAATCCTTTCCCCCTTAATTCCGAAAACGTGATTAAGATAACACATTCCTTTCGTTTTTAATTTACAAAGTACTACCATAGGAAAAGAAGTATACCTCTTTGTTTATGCTAGTAGTATAAAACGAATCACGAAACAGCATAAAGAAACCTGCTATAAGTACCTGATATAATGGATTTACATCATATTTATATTGGGAATTAATTATTTAAAGATATATCGGGTTTTGCTTGAAATCGGGTTTATCGGCATTTGCTCGAACTGGTCAACTTTGTACATCATTTTAAAGGGAAAATATCGGTTTTTGTTGGAATTTTATATTTTAGAAACAGAGAGGGCTACTAAATTGATATGAATCCATATTCAGGTTAAAAAATACAAAAAATGGATTTATTGGTTTTTGCATGTATGCTTCTGAATTATACTCCAAGAAATCTTTCTAAATTAAAGCTATTATAGAATGGACAAATATAAAACAAAAAGTGTACAGCAGAGTCTAGTATCGATCTCTTAGGTGACAATAGTCCAATCCTAATATGCAATTGGCAAGTTTTCTCACTTTGAATTGACCAATTTTTAGATCTGTCAGTAGGTAACACCAGTGTTAAATATAATATTCTATTCTATATTCTGATTCTAATATAAGGTAAATAAATTCTATTTTTATTCTCATATTTTTATGGATTTTCTTTTCCCGTATGAAAAGTTTTGAAACTTGGTACATAGGTTCCGGTCTGTACTATATTTAAGAATACTGTCGGATTCTCCCTTTGATTTGTCGGCATCGTTGTATCGGCTTATGATTACTTCTATTTATCTAACAATTCAATTGCTTATGCTAACAATATAAAACTATCTGCCAACTGTCAAATGTTTCCCTCTGAAATATACATAAATGTCGCCCAGCAGCGAATAGGACGTTTCCAAATCTAATGCAAATTTCATGTTACGCGGAACAGGTCATTCGTGAAAAGATTGAATAAATAACTGTCGACGCTCAGTTTGTAACGAGAGAATTATGTATTGCAAACTATTTATACACTAAGTAAATTTAGATTCCGTAAAAGTGAAAATGCGTCCGTGTTTACTCTTCTTGCGAAGGTGCCACGACATCCAGTTTGGCAAATACTGCGATAAACGATCGTTCTTCTATCAATGGATACATTGATATGATATATTCTACTGATATGTTCGTTCCACTCCTGTTTTCGTTTTGTCACCCATCCATTTATGTCGTCTATATTGCATGCTTTTCTTATGTTTTCGCTTCTCTCCCTGTCCAATAAACTTTTCCCTGATATTCGTCGGAGTATTTTCATCTCTGTTGTTTCTAGCAGTCGTCTCGTTTTAGATGTGTCAGGTCTTGTCTCCGCCGTGTATGTTATCTCCGTAACATCTCCGTAACATCTCCGTAACTAGTTATATCTATTCCCAAATATCTAAACTTTGCTTCCTGCTTTATTATTTTCCCATCAATTTCGATTTTACACCGTAGTGGGTATTTAGATGTTGTCATACATTTGGTTTTGTCTGCTGATATTATCATATTGCATTTCTTAGCTGTTATATTGAAGATATGTGTTAATTTTTGGAGCTCATCTTTTGTCTCGGCCATTAATGCGGCGTCGTCTGCATAACATAATATTTGGATTTCTGTCACCCTGTCTGGCTCCGCTTTGTACTGGTATACACTGTGTCCGTCAATTTATCTTTGCCTGTATTCGATTTTGGAGGTAGATGTTTTCAATGGTTTGTATAATATTGATTGGTATGTTTCTTTTATACAGTAGGTGTAAGACGTCTTCGACTTGAATGCGATCGAAAGCCTTTGTCAGGTCTGATCAAATCAATGAAATCAAATTATTGATGACAAACAATATTCACAAGTATTCCTTCTTTTTTCAGAAAGTGCTTTTTTGAAAATTCTTTCGGAGTAAACGTTGAAAAGCAGGGGTGACAAGAGGTATCCCTGCCGTACTCCTCTTTTAATATTGAGAGCATATGATTCCACATCCTCTACTAAAACTGATGTTGTTTAATTCAACAAACAAATTTGCAATTATTCGAACATCTCTGACGTCCAAGCCAATGTTTTTTAGAGCTTCGATCAATATAGAGTGCTTAACACGATCAAATGCCTTTTGGAAGTCAATAAAACCACAGTATATATCTACAGATATATCTCGACATCTTTGAGCAAGTACGTTCATTCCAAACAGTACCTCTCCCGTTCCAAATCCGTTACGGAAACCAAACTGAGTGTCATCCAGATATTCCTCGCATTTATTGTAGATACGACCATGTATTACCTTCACAAAAATTTTCAATAAGTGGTTTAACAAACTGATAGTTCTATAATCAGCACAGGTTTTTGCTGTTGTCTTCTTAAGTAGAGCTATAAACAGTGAATTAGACCAACCATTAGGTAGTTGTCCGCTGGTATAAATGGTATTGAAAAACGAAATTATAGCCTCTAAAACATTGCTATCATTTATAAGCTTGTATGATGGCTCTGCCATCTTTTGATGATTGTATGGCTTTTATAACCTTAGAGCGTGTTTTTAGGGGTCCGTCGCAGTTAGTAATATCGGGAGGTGAACTACTCCTATCGTCTTCAAATAGATTCGTGACGTAATTTTCCCGTGCTTTAAGTTTGTCCTCTACTTCAAATATTACTTTACAATGTTCATCCTGTAGCAATGCAGTTTGTTTCTTATTGAAGATACCAGCCGCTTCTTTCACTTTTTTTTACATGTTAAACGTGTTGTATCTGTTTTCAAGTTCTTCAATGTCATGACACTGTTTGGCTAGATGCTGACTCTTTGCTTCTCGTATTTTACGTCGAATTTCTTTTTGTATGCTGTTGTAAAGTGTTTCGTTGTTCTAGTCGCCGTTGTTCCATCAAATCCAATATGTTATCTGTCATCCAAGCCTGCTTTTTTAGCTTTGATTTCTCACACAAATTTCTTTTACTGTTGTTACGATTTTATTCAAGCCCTCGTCGACGTTTTCACCAATATTTTCCAAAATTTAATTTTCGTTCAGTTGTCTTTGAACTGATTCCTTAACTTTCCCGTTTTATAATTGGGCTGTATCAATATTTTTTGCGAGACTTCTTAATTTTAATTGGGTAACAGCTACTATGGGATTGTGATCAGATCCAATGTCAGCACCTGCATAAGTTTTAACTGATTTGATGCAGTTTCTAAATAGATTTTTTATTAGAATGAAGTCGATTTGGTTCCTAATAATTTTGTCCTCTGATTCTGCATTTGACTTTCAGGTGTAGAGTCTTCTCGTTAGTAGTTTAAAGTGATGCACAATGTATTGCTCTTCTTTTATTTGAGAGTGTATGGATTTAGAAAACGAACTTAAATCAGACAGAAAGTTATAGTGTACTTTTAATATGTTTTGATTTAATATAACTGTTTTAATGTTTTTGTTGTAGGTAAATCTTTGGCGGCGGCAATATCCTCATGTGACCATTCAATTTTTTTCATTTGAACACATCAATCAATAGTTCCATGCATGGACGAAGTAAATGCTGGTACAAACTTGCCTGTTCTATTGCCTTAACAGTTATAAAACCGTTAACAATAGTAAACATAAAAGTTACATAATTAAATCAGATGGTTTATACCAGATACTCAACAACTGTATTAAAAGTCAGTAAGATTTTGATTAAGTTTGCAATTCGAAATGAATGTCTGTGACTGTAAAACTGTGATATCGAAGATGGAATCAAAGCAGAGATAAAGTAACGGATCACACCCTTCTAGCATCAGTCTGATGATATATGTAGTGACATCTGCAACGGTTTTTCACATCATATTTATTTTATATGATGTGACACCTTATTTTATATCATAAATACATCACTTTCTAAAAAATATTTCTTTATTACATTATTTATTAAGTTGCCTTTCTAAAACTGAAAATGTCACCCAATATATGTTGAAATTGTTTTTGTTAAATATTAATTTTAATTACTTATATATTATGTACATTATCAATTGTTATATTCAATAAAAATATTTAAAATTTTTAAACATTCCTTTCTATAGTTGTTGTTTTTCTGCTTACCACAGATCTTTCAGAATCAATGTATGTGATTAAATTTATACAGAGCAATCTAATATGCATCCAAATGAATGGTCCCTTACTAGTCATCGGGAAATAAGTGCTAAAGATTGTGCTGATGAAATTGCTAAAACGGATCAGCTACAAAATATTTCGGTTCAGAGCTGGCCATCCGAACACACCATAACTACTACTATAGTTGGTCCACCGAAAAGATAGAATTATCACTTGACCGGCATCCGCTAGTTACGTGTTGAAACATCCAACGTCACAAGTTCGATTTATACTACCCAAGAAAAAAATACAATTCTCGCTGTAGATACAGTAAAACACATATATTGAAAGCTGCAAATCTACTTGTCATTGTAATAATGTAACTATGACAATTTACAATATATTATTGATTAAATTATATAGTATGAACATGGTTTTTTCAACTGAGGTTTTAAATAAAAAAAAAATATATGACAAACAGAGGTAACCTTTATTCTTAATTTAGAATAAAGGCTAATAATTAATAACCTAATTACTAACCTAACCTAATTACTATCGATGTCCTCGGATGAAGATTATTCGTCACCTAAATTAATAATCGAGAGGTTCGAACTGCTGTTCCACAATAAAATCTAGTTCCCATATCTTGGATATAATACCATCTATATGGTTGATGGCATTTTTCCGGAAAGTTAAAATTATTCAATGCTCCATTGAAAAAAAAAATTTTAATGTCACTTAAGTTAAAAGTCATTTTTTCTTACACCTTCACCTTTTACTTGTGCCCATACCAGCTCAATGGGGTTTAACTCACAGTGGTAAGGTGGCAATATCGTGTCTACCCGGTGACTTAATAATTTCATCTACCACATAATTTTGTTCTCTACGATGACTTTTGACTAACTAGTTAGTAATTCGGCTTTGACCATGTCGTCAGTAAACATAATATTTTTTTTCGCAAACAATTTTGAATATTTCGCAATCAATTTAAGATGTCCGCATGTTTTATCATTTGTACTACATTACTCCATTTTTTATTTTTATTAGTTCTGTTCTTTCTCTTCCGGTGTCTATTGTTGCTTGGGAATCTCGCATTGTCAGTTCTGCGATTCTTATAATTTTATTTGGTATATTAGTCTCTTGTAAGTCTTAAGATAATTTTTCTTCTGTTTAGTTTGTCAAACGCTTGTTTAAAGTCTAGGAAAAGTAAATCTGTTTCTCCGTCGTACCCATATGATTTCTCTATTACTTGTTTTATGTGTATGTATAGCTTCTATCGTGGATTTCCCTTTTCTGAAACCGTACTGGTAATCTCCTATGCTTTGTTCTGTATACAGTGTGGAAATCACTTATGGTATAAAATTGTTTGTACTTTGATGGTACACAAGGCAAATATCGAACACAGTAGTTAATCAAATCTTGCCCAAGTACTTTCGATCACAAGATCATCCTCAGGGGCATCTGTAATATGCCAAGAAACGTTTTTTTAAAAAAAGGAAAATTAATTCGCTTGGATAAAAACTCAAAGTTTATAGTTGAAAAAAGTTTTTTATGTGATTAACGTTTATAGACTTACTTCGTCAGTTGTGGCCTATCCAGCAGTAACAGAATGTTATAAATGTAAATTGGGACATAACAAATACACTAAACAAAGACAAACACTTTAAAATTTAAGAAATGGAGAAGCTACATTTTATATAGAAGCCGGAGACAGAATGGCTTCCAACCTGGCGGAAATATTGAGATGACATGTGACAAATGACAGCTTGTGAAGGGCAGTTACAATAGATAAGTGATCTGCGCCTTCAAGATTCTATGAAACTATAGTTTCATAGAATCTTGAAAGGCGCAGATCACTTATCTATTGTAACTCCCCTTCACAAAATGTCATTTGTCACATGTCATCTCACTATTTCCTCCAGGTTGGAAGCCATTCTGTCTCCGGCTTCTATATAAAATGTAGCTTCTCCATTTCTTAAATTTTAAAGTGTTTGTTTGTCTTTGTTTAGTGAATTTGTTATGTCCCAATTTACATTTATAACATTCTGTTACTGCTGGATAGTCCACAACTGACGAAGTAAGTCTATAAACGTTAATCACATAAAAAACTTTTTTCAACTATAAACTTGGAGTTTTTATCCAAGTGAGTTAATTTTCCTTTTTTTAAAGAAAACGTTTCTTGGCTTATTTCAGATGCCCCTGAGGATGATCTTGTGATCGAAAGTACTTGGGCAAGATTTGATTAACTACTGTGTTCGATATTTGCCTTGTGTACCATCAAAGTTCATTTATTCGAACATTCAACCTTATATTGAAAAATTGTTTGTGTCCTTATTTTAGAAAATAATAAAAAACGTTGAGATACCTAACTTTTAAATTTAAATGTGAGCTTTTTAAACATACATTTTAATGTACAGGGTGATCCACGCAAGTCTGGCATAGCCCAGAATCTGTATGTTAAATGAAACACCCTGTATATTTTTATGTTTTTAAAAGCTCCTTAACAACCTGATCTCAAGGAAGTATATATGTGTAGTGTCTATTATGAATTTTACAAGATGAAATTTTAAAATTAAGTATAATTTTCTTTATGACAATTAGTTCACAGAATACCCGAGGTAATGGATTGGATTACATTAAAATAAATGCTCAAAATGTTCTCCACCTTGTTGTTGGCAATAACACAGTCTCCTATAAAACTCGTCCCGAACTTTGTTTAAAGTTTGAGGTGAAATATTCCGTATTTCTGTAGTTATCCTTTCTTTAAGGTCTTCAATGCTGGTTGGTTGTGTTGCATATACTTTGTTCTTGAGATAACCCCACAGAAAAAATCCAAAGGCGTAAGATCTGGCGACCTAGCTGGCCACTCAATAGTACCCCTTCGTCCAATCCATTTATTGAAGAAGATTTCATTCAAGTAATTTCTCACCGTTAAAGCATAATGGGGTGTTGCACCGTCCTGCTGGAACCAGATAGTTTCATGCGGTAGAGTCCGATCTATTGGATTGGGATATAAGTTAGCCAACTGAGGCAGAACATCGTCTCTTAGCATGCTTAAATATTTTTCCGCTGTCAAATTATCATCTACAAATATAGGACCAATAATATGATCTCCTATAATACCTGCCCAAACATTTAACTTTTGGGGATACTGAGTGTGTGTCTCACGCATCCAATGAGGATTCTCTGCTGACCAATATCGGTTTATACAGTTTTGTCGGTTTACCTCTCCGTTCAATGTAAATGTTGATTCATCAGAAAAAAGAATTGTGCCAAGATCTATTTCATTTGTGTTAACTTTATCCACCATTCTTTCGCAGAAATCCATTCTACGATCTGGATCGTCTTTGGTTAGCTCCTGCACAAAAGTAAATTTATATGGATGAAGTTTTTCTTCATGAAGACACCTTAGGACAGTTGTGTGACTCACATTATTTTGAAGTGCAATTTGACGTGGACTTGACGTTGGATTCTCTGCGACACTTAACAAAATATCCACTTTCACCTCATCTTCAATGAAGTTCGGTTTTATTTTTAACGGTTTGACATGTCCAAGTTCTCTGAATTGTTCATAAATTTTAGACATAATTTTGCTACTTCAACTTGACTTCTACAATTCTCCCCGTAACCGATCATCATTAAAATCTCAATTCGGTAGGTCTCAGTTAAATATTTCATTTTTATTTCTGCAAGAAATTAGTTTTTAATTAGGAATTTATTATTTTAGTGTAAAATGTCAACACACCAACAAGAGAATGATAACAAACCGCATTATTTACCGATTTAGTTAAATTAGCAGACTATCTAGACAGTTTTTACCTATTCATGACAAAAAATGTTAACACGGTTACTAAACAGAAATTTTTCCCAATATACTAACACTTAGAGTAGAAGTATATTGTCTGTATTTAGCTAATTTAAAATAATACCATAACACGTGATACATTATTAATTTCAAAATTTCATCTTGTATTATTCATTATAGACCCTACATGATATAGTTTGTTGAAATCAGGTTGTTGAGAATATTTTAAAAATATAAAAATATACAGGGTGTTTCATTAAAAATAAGGATTATGGACTATGTCAGAATTGCGTGGATCACCCTGTACATTTAAATTTATGTTTAAAAAGCGCACATTTAAATTTAAAAGTTAACGTGTCCCAGAGTTTTTTATTATTTTCTATAATAAGGACACAAACAATTTTATTCCATAAGTGGTTTCCACACTGTATATTGTTAGTCTGTCTATAATTATACGTCATTACTTCATATGTTACATTCAGTAACTTAATTGCTCGGTAGTTTTTGCATATTGTCGGTCAGATAGCCAAGCGGGCTGGGCGGCGGGTTCTCATTCGCTTCACTGCTAGTGGTGCAGTAGATGTGAGTTCGATCCCCAGCTTGTGTACAGAAAACAAAAAGGATAACGTAGCAGTTTAAAATTCTAGATGAATCTGCGGCTTAGACTAGTATATGCTGGTGTCTGATTGGCCTTTGGTGGAGTAGTACAGCAAGAGATAAAGGCTTGCGGTTCGGTGGTAGTCCTCCACAGATTCCTATCGGAAGGGCGTGCCGCTAAATACCGGTGTATATATAGTTTTTGCATATTCTATGGACTCCTTGTTTTGGGATTGTCACTATGATTCCATTTTTCCATTCTTCGGACATTATTTCTTTGCTCCATATAGTTCTGCACATATTCCGTGTTCTCCCGCTGTTTTCCCGTTTTTAAGTTTGCATATTTTCTCTTTAACTTGTGTATAGGTCATTTCTTCTTCTTTTTCATCGTCTTTGGCGTTCGTTATTGTTTGTCTTTCTTCTTCTCTTTCAGTTTCTTGATATATTCCTTTGATATATGTCCGTTTTCGGTTACCTAGTTTTAAGTATTGGTACAATGGTTTTGAGTTGTGTAATTTATTTTCTGTTCCTATCTCATTCATAATTTCTTCAACTTTTTGATTTTTTTTCTTTTTTTTTCTGAATCCCACAAAAATTGAGACATATAACAGTGAGCCTAAAGATCGAACGAAACTTGTTTTCCGGGAACCAAAAAAAGTCGCAGAGAGAAACTGTCGGACTCGGCCTTATGAAGCATACTCAAAATTTGGAATGACTATTTATCATAAACTTTTTTGCCAAGGGGCATTCCTAACTAAATTGTCTGATGATAAACATAAGTTATTCAACGCGTCTGACGACTCGAACATATCGGAAAAACTACTGCGACGAAATTAATAGATAACTAGCTAATTTTTTCAGGATACTTTCATTAACAGTAGCAAAAACAAACAACTTTTCATATTGTCTTACGGAACTTGTTTCCCCATTTACCTGACTGACGGGTGAAAAGTTTCGGGAAAATTATGGAAAAACACCCCAGAACCAAAAAAAAAAAGTCGCTGAGAGAAACCTAGTTACACTCTACCTAATGAAGCGACACTCAGAGTTTAGAGAGAGTATCTATCTATCATAAACTTTTTGCCAACGGGTACTCAACTATGTAGTGGTGTTTTTGGCAAAATCTATGGTGTGCAATTTCTGGTTATTGTTTCGGGTGAATTCACCAAACTTTACAAAGGCGATTCCGCCAAATGTTTAAATAGTTAATTTACAGATTGATTCAAGTCAGTTATTTATTTGTATTCTGGTTCTAAGCATATGTAAAATATTTTTTAAACTTTTCTAAAAGTTTTCATTAAAAACTTTGCTAATTTTAGAAAAATTAATTACTAATATTTTATGAAATGATAATAAACATAAAAAAAAGTATATATTTTATATTTTAATATTATAAAGTAGTATCACTAACTCCGGGCATATTACAATCTTTAAGAATTTTGTAAAAGTCTGGTAGATCCTGTACTTGATCTTGATCCAGTGGTGACCATTGCTGTATACTAAGTGTTGAAGGGTAACCTAAAGAAACAATAATACATAATATATTTACTTTCTGCCACATTTATGAACTAATGTATATTTTGATGTTAGTCTTAAAGCTAAACGTCGCATATGTTGGTTATCCTTCTTTTATTACCTAAATACTATGTGGAAATACTTTATGGATATATTTATATTATTTGAAGTCAATGCTATAGATCCAAGGAAAAACTATCTAAACGAACCAACCTACCTATTACCTATTAAAAAAGAAAAAAGGGAAGAAGCGTTTTATGAAGATGTGAAACTTGAATCTCTTCTCATTTAAAATTGTAACGGTAGCATTTATTATTGTTAGTTAATCAGATTCACACCTCGTTTATGTTTTAAAGTGTTTTAACAAGATTTAACGATATAGTTTGCTTATATAGCTAGTGAGTTAGTCACTAAGTTTCAGGTAGTAAAATGCCATATTTAGATCTACAAAGCAACGTTAGGCTACTTTTTTTGAAACCTGCTTCCAGAAAAGTTGTGTCATCATCATTTATACCTGTCGAGTGTCTGTTTTCTCCATCCCCTTAATCTAACCTCCCTTATATCGTCCTGAACATCGTACAGATATTTGAGTTTAGGTCGCCCCCTTCTTGTTCCGACGGATAACGTGGCCCACCCATCTTAGGCGGTTTATTTTGATAGTTTTCATGATATCTGCATCACCAAAAAGTTTTCTTTTAAATATTCGTAGTAACTCCTCATCTCGAGTTGTTATTGCCCATGTTTCCGATCCATAAGTGAGCACTGGGCGTATTATTCTTTTATAAAATTTGCGCCTTATTGCTCTTGACATATTTCTCGCTCTTAGTTGAGCCAGCTAGGCCAAAATAACAACCGATAGCCACGTAAAGGTAATGGATTTTGACAAGGGCTATGAGTCATGCCGATTTAGTACACAATTTTACCTGTTATTTACAAGGTCACAGCTCATGTCAAAATCCATTAGCTATATATTCTTTTTCTTATTTCTTTAGATAATGTGTTGTTTTTGCAATCTACCAGTGACCCTAAGTAGCAGAATTCTTCCACCGTTTCTATAGATTATTGTCGCACCTCGTTAAAACTTATTTTTTTACATTCTTGATAAAACCGGCATATATTTAATTTAGAGTGCTAACACATAAGGTTTTATTTCCATAATAGTCCAGGTGGGATCTGTCAAAAAGCAGACCATAAGAATGGACATTTTCTATAGGAGTGTTATTTTTTTACTGGAATCACTTCAGGATGACCCTTGTACCAATAATCACGATATGCGCTAGTCGCAAACCTTGTGCTTAATTTTTTATTTAACAAAATCCGAAAAAAAAAATCAAAAATTTCTTGCGCCCATATTGTTGCCTATAATTCAAGACGTATTGCTCGTACAAAAGAAACTTATGAAGGCAAAAGTTCCGTTTTTTAATTTAACTATAAAATTTGATGAGCTACAAATTAAAAAAGTATAAAAAAATCAAATATCTTTTTTAATTTTTTTTAACCGTAGACATAACAACCATCATATTCCGCATAGAAAAACTTTGTAATATTACTGAAACGTGTACTAGGATCGGTTTAACAGTTTTTGCATAATGATTTTGCAATCCAGGTTCTGCAAAAAAAGTTGCAAATTTTCAAAATTATTCTGTGCCCAAAATACGCACATAACAATAAGTAGTTAATCAAATGCACTTTGAAAACTTGAAATCGGTCAACTAGATGAGCCTAGAGAATTTTGTAACCGTACAAACAATTTGTTCAAATTAGGTATGTCATTTTTAAATAAAAATGCATTTGCTAATTTAATAAATTAATATATATATATATATATATATATATATATATATATATATATATATATATATATATATACATCATCGAGTTAGAATCTATGGAGAGGGCATCACGTGACTAAAAACGACCTCACTTCGGCCATATTGTTAATATTGTTTTGAAACTTTTGACAGATCGTATATGTTTGTTTACATTTGTTGTTTTTCGAATATTTTCAGTTTTATAATAGTTTTATAGAAACTGTAATATATTCTGAAGTGCATAATAACGGTTTTTTGTTCTCAACGTAGTTGCAGTAGCAGAAGCAATGTTGATAAAAAATCTTCAGGAATATCGTTCCACAGATTAGTATACAAATATGTAAACAAAGTAATGGCCCGTACTTCAGAGAATAAATTAATAGTATTTGACTGTATTAATTTATCTGTATGTATAATATATCGTGTTTTTAGTGTTTACCGCGGGATAAATAAATCATAGTTTATTAAAAATGTATTGCACTTTTTTAGATTATGATTAAATCTACTGAATAACTAATCGTATTTGTATAGTAATTTTAATATTATTAAGTTTGGCCCTGATGTCGCCGCCATATTGGTATTATCGTTAGCCTCGCCTACCTACGCCGTTTTTAATACATACGTTAATATGCTCATAGCTTCTCCATAGATTCTAACTTTATATATATATATATATATATATATATATATATATATATATATATATATATATATATATATATATATATATATATGTTATATGTGAAAATAGTCACCTTGAACCACTCAAGGGTTACCGACACTTTGGTTTCGCAATATCAGTTCCTATTTCATCATTCTTTTAGCAAGCGTTCCCATAGAGATAGCTGACTATGCACGGACATCAAACTCTGACCAAAGCTGGCCTTTCGTGGGAAATGCCGACACCACATTTTGTAGATAGATTATAAATTCAGGACTAACATTATATTTTTCACTCGTCATATAAGTTTCTTACCAATAACATTTGTATTATATAATTTTATTTACTTCATTTTATCGTATAACTAAGTGTAACTTTTATTTGTGAAATAAATCTTTTTTAAAAAGTCAATCAAGAAGTTACTGATTTAACATTTGGCGCAGTCAGTAGGATCCGGTTAACGTTGTTAGAACAAGGAAACTCACTAGCAACGGCGGATCCCTATCCCTCAACGGAAAAAGAACCTAGAGCCGTCCTCATTCAACTGGATACTACGGAAGGAACACCTGGTGAAGCCCCTGGTAGCAGATCCCGTTAGAAAACAAGACGTACTCGATGTTTCTATTAATGTAAGTTATTGAATCATCTCGTTTTTACTATTTTTATATTTGCAAACATACCGTACATACATCATAATTTTTTTCAATTTATAATCTTGACTATACAGAAAGTCAAGCCAAGTTGATTATCTAATAAGGAAATACCTTTTTATTGCATACTTTTATTATTTTATCATTCTTATTTACACATTTTATTGATTTCGTATTATATTTTCACCGATATTTTACTATATTTTACTTTATTTTACCACATTTTACTTGATTTTACCATATTTTACTTGATTTTACTACATTTTATTTTATTTTACCATATTTACTATTCGCATATTTTGTTTTATACTTCCACTAACATATTATTATCAAAATGCCTGAAACACGTTCACAAACCCAAGTTGAAATTGAACCATACAAACTTTCAGAAATATTCTCCATAATTCCTGAGTTTGAAGGAGACCCAATATCTCTTCCCACATTCTTAGACGCATGTGATTGTGCGATTAAAATGTCTTCGGGAGACCAACGTATTTTATTAACGATTCACATTAAAAATAAACTAAAAGGTAAAGCAGCTCAATTAATAAACTCTAGAAAACCAACTTCATACACAGACATAAAAAATTTATTAAACCTTCATTTCGGAGATAGTAGAGATCTCACTTCCTTAATTCACGACCTACAAAGACTTCGACAGTTATCGAACGAATCACCTTTAACCTTTTTCAATAGATTACAAGTTCTAAATGCAAACATGCACGCCTCAATTCAAAAATCAGGCCTAACACAAGACCAAAAAACCGCCCAATGCACGTTAATTGACTCTATGGCTTTGAATACTCTCTTAACTGGACTAGAACCCCGCTTAGGACAAATAATTAGGGCCAGTAACCCTAAAGACCTTATTGAAGCCAGTAACCGTATCCGACGTGAACTTCAGTTATCGTATTTCGAATCTCAAAAATCAAATAAAGATAGCCAAAATAATCCAAAACCTTCCCAACCGATGAGAAGAACCTCATCCAATTTTTCTAAATGTACAAGTTGTGGTCGTATTGGCCATTTAAGTAGCGAATGTCGCTCATCACGTTTTTCTTATCAAAATCAATATAGCGGTAGACCACAAAACTACCAAAATAATCAAAACCAATCCAATCAATATAATACTAGATCACAAAATTACCCAAGTAATCAAAACCAATACTCTTCTAATCAACAAAATTTAAACCCACAGAGATCGAATTTCCCTTCTCAAAATCAACCGCAGAATCGCCCCTCTGTTATTCAGAGAAATCCAAATTTCCAAAATTTTCAGCAAAGAGCCCATGTCTTTAATGAATACCCTGACGATCTTGTAGAATCTTATGAAGATTATTATACAGAAAATGATCTTCAAACTAACTATTTTCACGAATATACCAATGACACATCTGATTTTATTAATAATACACCTGATACAGAAAATTATCAGGATTTTCTTTCGCTACCCAATCAGAACCATCCCCCAGTACATACGAATCTTTCAACCGATATCACGAATGTACAACAACAAATCCAAGCCCTCAATTTGGACAATTTCGATCCAAATGTGAATTTCCCCGAACAGAAATTCCTGTAAGCCCCTTCCACACAATGAGCTCTAAAAACTTATATTATATCAATGACGCTACGAATACTTTTAAACTTCTAATTGACACCGGTGCAGGAATTACAGTTTTCAAAGAGAATACTGCACGAAATTATCATAACCGATCCCCAGAAAATGTTACCATTCAAGGCATAACCGACGAGAAACTTCTAATTACAGAATCTGTCCTTATTCCCTTTACCGATGACAACCCTCACAAAGTTTTCATTTTTAATCTAGACATTGACTTTGACGGCATAATAGGCCTAGATTTCCTAGACCACTACGAA